TCTTGCTCGGTAAGTTTTTGTTGGCATTTAAAGCACAGAATGCTAAAAGAGATGGTTCATTCGGACATATTATTTTAAAAGTTTCTCAGTGAATTCATAAGGTTTTAAGGCTAAAACATAAAGGGTTACATAGCTAAACAAGGCCCCGAATAGCAAATATTTTCACTGGATACCTGTTTCGTTATCTTTTCAAAAAAAGGCTAGAGCTAATAAAGCAAATACGGCTAAAAGGATAACTACTATGGCTCATTGGGTATTCGCTCCTCTCGCAAAATTTTCTTTTAAAAGGGTTTTATACTCGGCACTTTTGCTATCCAAAGTGGGTTTAACTTTCTCATCATAAAAGGAAGCCAAAGCTCCTTTAAAGTCTGGCATTCAATTAGCTAATCCCATCTAAGTTCTCCTGATTTTTAATATAATGATAAATAAATAGGCCCACTAGGGCGGTAGCTAATAAGGTATAAGTTATCAGTTGGGTGGTCTCGGATTGGCTAGGCTGTAAAGCTTGTAAGCTAGTGCTTAACTGCTGAATTGAATTAAGCGGTTGTTGGATGAGAGGCATGATTTTCTTTTTCGGCAGCTAACCTTTCGGCTCGTTCTTGGCGTTCTAAAAACTTAGTGCGGCGGTCAAGTTCTTCTTTGGAGTAGTCACCGAGAGGTTTTAAGGGTTGATTAACTTCGATTTCCGCGGGGGAAGTAGCCGGAGTGCTAGGCTCTGAATCAGCATAAAAGCTCCTAAACTTTCAATAACTTTCACCTTTCTTATCACTGCGAACAAAGCCAATAAACTTCTGTTCGGCGATTTTCAGGATGTAAGTATTAGGCTGTTTAGGGTCAGTGTTTTTTCACAGCAATATCCTAAATTTTTGCGGGTCAATTCAGTGGCATTGGCAGTTTCCTTGGGGGAACAAATTGCTCACTAATTGCTCCACTAAATCTCTTTGGGCAAGGGTGTTCATAAGGTTTATTCAGTTTCTTTGGGGCTAAATAACTTATTCTTGAGGGTTTGTAATAAGCCGCTATTATAAAGATAGCAGCCAATGGCAATTCCTAAGCAAGTCATTACTAACTTGCCGGTAGCTCAAGCTTTTAAGGTATTAGTTTGGTTTAATTCGTGGTTCATAATTTTATTTCTTTAATTGTTGAAAAGTCATATAAGCTACCGAAGCACAAGTGCCGACAGTGGCAAAAATAAGCACGCTATAAGTTAAAGTTTTGCTTATCGTATATTCTAGTTGTTCGCGGTCAATAGTAGTGGGTTTGCGATATTTAGTTTCTTGGTTTTGATTAATATTTGGCATAATTTTTGTTTAAGGTTTGTTGAATTGAGGCTAATTGCTGGCTAATTTGTTTTAATAAGGCAATCATTTGCTGTTGATTAAGACTTTGGGTTTGGGAGAATTGCTCCAGTTTTTGGGCTAGCGGGGCGATATCGGGAAAAAAAGACATTATTCGTTATAATTTTCTAGTTCGGACTTGGGCTGGCTAAATTCTAGGCTGCGTTTGGTTTCGGTAGCTAGGAGGCGAAAGTTGTTATTAGTGCTGGTTAATTGTTGGCTCAAATTAGTTAGTTGACTGGAAGCATTATTTTCTAAGCTTTCTAGCTTGGTTCAAATTTGCTGTTGTTGATTTAAAACTTGGTTAAGGCTGAACTGCATTTGCTGGATTCCGCTTAAAATATCGGCTAATGCTCCGGTCGGAGGTATCTTTTGGCCGGTTAACATTTCTAAACCCATCGGGATTCAAGGGATAAGGGGGAGAAGGTTTTCTGGGATTTTAAAGAGACCTTTTTGAACCGGTTGATTATTAGGGGGAACTTGAGCTTGCTGAAACTGGTTTTGGCTTTGATTTTGGGTCTCAGTCTGAAAAGTTTGTGACCCCGGATTTAAATTATTTAACTTCACCATTATTGGGTTAATTTAATAATCGAATCGGTAGCAAAACAAAGTCCGCCTACGGCCGGCAATAAGTCTACGGTTTGCTTAATTAGGTTCACTTTAAACATGCTGGAACCAAATCATCATAAGGCTAAACAGGCTAGGGAAATTACCAGTAATCAATGCTTTTTTTCTCACTTTCACGCTAAATTAGGGCTTAAATGAGGGCTATTGGGGTTAATTCTTGCGGGCAAAGTCATTATTTATACTTTCTTTTCTAAGGCTTTATTTAGTTCAGATTTTAAGCGCTTAGCAGGGGTAAATTTAAACCGATAAAAGGCGTAAACTTGCTTATCTCAGCCGCACTTTTGTTGGCTTTCAGTCTTTTTTAAAGAGCCGAAGGAGCCGCGAGTGCCAATTTGGATGGCTTCACTGGGCTGGGCTTTTACTAAACGATTAAATAAATCTTGGCTAACTAATTGGTAGGCTTGCTTTAATTCTTTTTGGCTAATAGGATTTTTCATATTTCAAAATATAGGAATTAGTTTGTCGACAGTTAATTTCTATACTTTTGTTTTTAGTTTTGGGCGATTTTTAGTGGTTAAAAAAATCGTTGATATATCATGTGGTATATCAGTTGGTATATCAACGGGTAAAAAATGCTAAAAGTGGGTTTAGGATTAGAAAAGTTTTTGATAATGAAAAGTTCTAATCCAAAAAATCTCAGACAATAGGTTGGTTTAAGACTGGTCGTTTGCTGAACTATTAGTCCAATTAACTAAAAAAAGTGTAGCAGTAACTAGTGAACCTAAAATTAAACCTGTTCAAAGAGCATTGTCTATCTTTATGTTGGCTTGCTCAATATTAATGAGCGAATTTCTAATATTTGTCTCCATATATATAATTTTATATTTGACTAATACGGGTTAAAAAGAATTTAAACTTTTCTTTTGCCTACTAAGTCTTCCCGGTCTAGCAATCCATTATAGATATAAGTGCGAAAGCGAGTTTTTTTGGCTGTACTTACTAATTCCAAAAAAGCATCCGCGTGGCGTTCTCGTCAATTTTTTAAGCAACGGCGGCAAAGTAATTTATAGTCCTTTCAGCCTTTTTCTTCGGTTCAATAGTCGACTTCGTTAAGTCGGCTTCATCCGTTACTGGCCGCTACATATTTACGAATAAATTCTTGGCGACATTTATCGCACTTTTGGATTCTTTCCATGATATAAAGATATTTTTAGTTAATTGAGTGATTAGTGGGCTTAGTTGAGCGGTTTTTGGTAAAATATACTTATAGATTTTTATGGTTAAATTTAAAAGTTCTTACACGCGTATAAATATCTTGTAATGGACAATCGTCTATAACTAAACTATTTAATTGCGAAAAGCCATCCAGAATCAGACTGTTTAAGTTGTTTAACTGAGTTAAATTGAGACTAATCATTTTAGAATTATAATTGTAAGTATAGTATTTATAATTACTGATATCAATATTGGCTAACTTAGTAAGTTTGTTTAATCCATTCAATTCACTTAAATTAAGGCAACCATAAAGGCAAAGTGTATTCAAGTTAGTCAATTTATCTAAATTATGAATCCTAGCCAACTGCGAACAATGTTTAATATTTAGACAACTAAGGCTAGTCAATTGTTCAGCAAGTCCAAGGTCAACCAAGTTTTGACAGTATTGTAAATAAAGTTCATTAAGCAAACTTCCTCCTTCCATGCTTAACTGACCATCATTATAATAAAGGTAAAAACTTTTTAATTTTTTACAATCAGTTAAATTAAATTGGGTTAGCTTTTGGTAAGTATCAATGTTAAAACTGCTACCACGAATTTCTAAATAACTAAGGTTAATAAATTTAGCAAGGTCCAGTTTTCCTTCTAACTGGGTATTATAAAAATGACAAATACTATTAGTTTTGCTGTTAACGCCCTGATTATTACTAATGTATAACCTTTGAACTTGCCCTTGGCTCTCGGGGGTAGGAAAATTTTTATCTAATCATGCTTGGGCGTTTACCATAATACTTATATTTTTAATGGCTAAGAAAAATTATTGGCAGAGGTGAGAGGAATCGAACCCCCATTCTCAGTTTTGGAGACTGCCATTCTACCATTGAACTACACCTCCATTATTTATTAAATCGTAAAATTATGGCTTAGCAAAAATTAAATCACCTAGTTTTTGGACCAAATTATTCTTTCGCAATTTATAATATAAAATTTTATATAGAAATTTTTGCGG